GACTGTACTCAATAAATGTTAGCTGTGATTATCATTTCATATATGTTGATATTTTATAAAGAAACATTTAATAAATAGTTGCATATACTTTATTATTTGTATATTTAATAATAAAAACATAAAAAAACTATAAAATTGGAGCCTGCCCGGTGGTGCAGTGATTAAGTGCGCACGCGCTCCACTGCGGCGGCCCGGGGTTTGCAGGTTCGGATCCCAGGTGCACACCGACGCACTGCTTGTCAAGCCATGCTGTGGTGGCATCCCATATAAAGTAGGGGAAGATGGGCACGGATGTTAGCCCAGGGCCAGTCTTCCTCAGCAAAAAGAGGAGGATTGGCGACAGACGTTAGCTCAGGGCTAGTCTTCCTCACCAAAAAAAAAAAAAACTATAAAATTTTTAGGTCTTATAACAAACTTTTTAAAATCAATGTTTATTTACAGCTGAATCTCTTGTCTCCTCCTCCCTGTGCCTGAGACCAGCACACCCACCTCACAACGATCGCCGAGCAGTCACCCATACCACTGAACACCTACTGGAGGGACGGGCCTCTCTGGGCCTCACTGAAGAAGGTCTTTGTGGGTCTGGCACTGTGCTGAGGCCAGACAACAGAGACCAAAGGAACCCAGACCCTGTCTAGCTGATCTTAAGGGAAAAATTTTTAAATTTGAAGACAGCAGGAGCAAGTCTATCCTTTTCACGTCTGAGATATAGTGGAGAGGCTACACTACAGAAACGAAATACTGAGAAAGGTTCTCACAGTTTGGCTTTTATTAAAATTAAAGTAACATACAGTATGGGAAACTACAACACAATTCCTGTTAAAATAACACATTTGAGGAACTGTTTCTTCAGCTGTCACTGTAACTGATCAAGCATGTGACATGTGTTCTTTTATAAGATATACGGTCCCTAAAATCCAAGCAGAGGACACCAGACCAGGACCTTACCCATGCAATGCGTGGTAGGGGGTGTCAGTGATCGAGCCTGCCTGCCTGTGGGCAGCCACACAGACAGAGCACTCAGACAGACATTCACATTCAGTGTCTTGAGTTTTCTTTCGAAGAAAGTATTTTATACATCATATACAAATTAAACAAGAAGTCCAACAAGGGTCCTTTATTGCCACTGAAAAAGGGGAAAAATAATTTGAAATCTCTTAACCAAAGGCAAGAACATAGCACTAGAATAATTCGTTTCTCCAAACACCACAGTCCTATGCATTCCTGCCGTGGGTGATGCCATATCCACGAGTCACCAAGCTGCATGACAAAGGCTGCACAGGGGCTACAAGTCTGTGATTATCCACTATGGAAGAAGCCTCTTCCATTCCCAAATGTCGGAAGTGCTGCCGGCTCCCCTGCTTGGTCAGTAGATACACAGCACAGCTGAACATGAGGGGCTTAGGACTCTAAATAGTGCAAACACTTAAAAAAAAAAAAATACATTCCAACCTCCTTGCTTCTCCAGGCAAACAGAGTCTTAAAAACTCCAGCTAACTGGAATATGTGTTCACTCAACCTCCCAACTTGATCCAACAAGGTGCAAATGGGGAGCATGGAGGCAATTTGAATGGCACCTGTCCCAATAATAATAAAAATAAAGATTTTTTTAAATGACGCTAATGGTAGGTAAGTACACAAAATAGAGCCTGGAGTGTAGACATAGCTCAAGAAACAAGTAAGTTATAAGTGTAGTGTGAGCAAAGCACATGCTTAACACATTCCGATGGGGATCATGAGGAGTGACCCCTCTTTTAAAGTTTAAAGACAATATGTTTCCAAAAGGGATGTCATCCAGTAGCAAAGGCCTTAAGCTGCTGGAAGCTTCACAAGAACAAGGGGACAGAATAGAATGAGCACTGGTCTGCTGGACCTAGGAAACGCCTGGGAGTATACAGTGGAGGGCAGGCCCCTCTCTGGGGCTTCTCCACACCATGGTGTGCCAGGCTGAGTGCCAGGCAGTGACAGCTACCAGGAGACGGGCCAACCAGCCTCACCCCCATGGAAAACAGATCCCAAAAAAGCGGACAGGCAACATAGATGGATAAGTGCTGAGTCAAACTTAACATTAGTCCCTAAGCAATTCAAGAAATACCAGTGATTGTATTTTTAAATTCAGCAATCTCCCTTAAATATGGTGTAAGAAAGAAGACTCCAAGTCAAAGAGACTTGTCTATCTGGAGCTACTGAAAAAATCCATTTTTGGAGGGTGAGAAACAAAGGGAAGACAGCTACAGGCATGAACTATGTCTGAGAGTGAATGACGTCTAGAACATAACATTTCATTATCATGGACAATAAAAAGCAATTCAAATATCCTGAAAAATTATCTTATAAAAATACCTACATTAAAATTTTAGCGTGAAAGTTACAGCTTCAATTTTATAAAAAGGCAATCTTTGAAAGGATCTGGCTCAGGAATATATAAACATTACACAACAGATATCAAAGTAAGACAGCTCAAAAAGCATCTTAGGGGATATTGCAACTGGTTTGTCGTGAAATAGAATTAAGTATTCTTATTGCATAGCAGAAAATGAGGTCACTTTCATTTGCATAATACTGCAACTTTTTAGATGGAGAGATGCCATTGGGTACTTATGAGAAATAACTTTGGAATTCAGAGTCTGACTTCTATGTTGTCCAAATCAGTATCCAAGTGGTGTCTAAGCTGCTTCTAACCTTGGACCGAATTCCATTTCATCACTGCGATCAGATTTCAGATACACCACTGGCAAAGCTGCATTCACAAGCAGGTGTGGCCACCTGAATGGGGGGCGTCGGGGGTCACCTACCACATGGCCACCACAGACTTGAAAGTAAGTCTGTTGTGTCCACTGTGGAGAGAGAATCGTACCTGGTGATAAAGAGACAGCAGGCTTTGGATGGCATCTGTGGGCAGCTGAGCAGATTGGCTTTTTGGTGATGACGTACCAGTGTTCTAGTCCCCGTGAGAAAGGACACATGAGGATGAAATGAACACGGCCCCAGCAGCACGACCAGCAGGGTCAGTGCTTCCTGGGAAGAGAGATGTGAGGTGGAACCAATAGCAAAAATCCAAAAGCAGAAAACATAGCTGGCTAGCTTTCAGGGAAGGGACCCCTCCGGGAAGATGGTGCACAAACAATAGCCTCCCCCACATAAGCATGAAAGCCCAGCTCCCAGGTGCTGGGGGAGGGGATGGGGAATTCACCTTTCACCAGAAATCACCCCAGCCCCAACCTCCTCCCCACCATCCACACACTCACACACCAAAACAAAGTCCCAAACCTTCCTCAGAGAGGGAGGAAGAACATTTGGAACAAAAAGCTCATTCCATCAGCTTCCAATCCAGAGCCAGGCAGAGCTCTGAAACCACAGCCATCTCCAGTGCTGGATGAGACAGAGCATCCAACTAAAAGCATGCCTGATTCCTTTAGAGATGTTTCTTCCAGGTCCATCAAAGCTGCTTAGTCTCTTCCCAAGGCTAGTAAAAAATTCCGGGTGCCTTGGTGCTCTCCAGATGTCTCGCTGAAATAGCATCTGCTCAACATCAGAAGGAGAAGTTTCCTCTTCAGGAGAATTGAGTTTTTAGTGCACAATAAACATACAGTAAATACACAAAGTGGCCAACTAGCTGGGGAGGGCCCTGGGTTTCTAACTGCGGCAGGGTGGGGAATGCCAATCTCCTGCATTACCTGCTTGGAAGTAGCCCATTTGTGTCAGAGGTTCAACATCAGGGTTCATAAAGCCCACCAGCTCCCTGCAAGTGGACCTAGACATCTGGGAGGGTTAAACCCCAGCCCCCAAGGTGGAGGCTGTTCTCCAGACACAAGACTTCCTCACTTCTTATGCCAGAAATTCCAACATAAGCAACTGGCTAGTTTAGAAACAGCACAGCTTTAAGCTTCTTTTTTTAAATACAAATGACTCCATGTGCCCTCAAATACCCCCTCCAGATGCTTGAAGTTCTGTCATTAATAATTTTTACCTGTGAATTAGCAAAGCTCTTATCAAGCTCCTCTTTTAAAATGCAAGTACCCCTGAGAGAGATCACACAGCCAAGCCCTACCACCATTTCCTCCCCAGGGGAAGCAAGGAGGAGGGGGCTGTTCTGAGGGTTGGAGAGAGGGTACAGGCCCTGGAATAGGGGGAGAGCACAAGGCAAGGACATCAGACAGGCATGACCATCATCACAAAGTGCCGAGGGCCCGCCCCAGCTGGCATACTCCTTTGAAGGCATCCATGTCCATCTGAATCACACAGGACTCCATCCAATGCAGGGACAAACCTATCTTTGGGTTTGGAGGGAGGGTGAGCTTTTACTTATCCTCCAAACCAGAACACTTTTGAAGGTAAAAGGAGATGCTGTGAATAATTAAGCCTGGACAATAAGTATAAATGGAGACTGTCCTATCTCGGGAAACCCAGAAGTAGGATCCTGTCTGAGATCATTACGGGCAGGGATCGAAGCCTTTCCATTTTGGGTTTTATGTTTTTGCTTTTTGTGTAGATTTTTTTTCTCCAGTGTGTTACTCAGGGCTTCTATGATGAGCTAGTTTTCCCAGCTGAAGAGACAAAAAATCTCCCAGACCTGGAATCCATGACATCCAAGACCAGTGGCCCAAAGACCGAGCAGTTCTCTTCTGCTTCCCAGAGGAGAGCCCAAGGAAGAGCACCCGCTGTGGGGCTGGGGAACCCCTTTGTCCCTAGTTCTAGCACACAAAGGACACGGTGCAGCTTTGAGCATGCCAGATCCTCTGCAGACAGTGTCAGTAGTCAGGCCAGTGTGTGGGCATGGTCAGAGCACTGCCCCTCTGGCTGCTTATTTCTGGACATTCCCTGTCCAGCTCGACCTCCAGCAGACAGCAGCTTTAGTAGTCTCAGGGGCCCCACGGGCAAATCCAGAAGAGAGGTTTCTGTGATTTGATTTTCAGCATAGGGGAAAAAAGTATCAGTAGTAAAGAAATCCAGTAGATTGTCACACACCCCCAACTCAGTGAAACGCCATGTTCTATACACACAAGGTGTCTCTGTAGAAACACAAAAAAAGCCCAAATGTGCCGCCTGGAGCTATCAGGAACCCACGGCTCAGGGCAGAGGTCAAAACACCTTAGGGGAGCAGGAGATGGGTCACTGGTGTTCCGGACGGGACGCCACTCTGCCAAGTCTCGCTCCACTGCAGACTCTCGCAGCGAGTGGCATCCAGCCGTCATGGTCCCGCTGTTCTGAGTCATAAGCAGCACCCCTCCCTTCCTCCACATCCTGGCAGTGGGAGTTGGGGTCACAAGGGCTTGTGAATTACAGCAACACCTAAGATGAAAGGGGGAGAGAGTTATCATCTTAGCTTCTCCAAAGTTATTCAGAGCCCCAAGGAATTCATGAATCCAAGGCAGCCCAAGCTGCCTGGATTCCCTTCCAAGGGAAATGGGCACAATTTGTATCCAAATATTGAAGGCCCTCTGGACTCAGGCTGCCAGCAGCTGGCTGTTTCCCGCTGTAACAGCCAAGTCCCCACAAGATATTTGAGCCCACGAGCACAGTCCTTCAACACCAGGTTAGTGGTCTCGTCCCACATCATCACATGGACTCACCTCGTATTATGATGACTCCCCTTCCCAACCCCAGCACTCAGCTTAACGACACTCAGCACCCTCACTGGAAACACACAGGCAGCTCCACAGCTCTGAATTTGTATCACTTTAAGAGAAAGCCATGGGCCGGCCCCGTGGCTTAGCGGTTAAGTGCATGCGCTCCGCTGCTGGCGGCCCGGGGCCCGGATCCCGGGCGCGCACCAACACACCGCTTCTCCGGCCACGCTGAGGCCGAGTCCCACATACAGCAACTAGGAAAATGTGCAGCTATGACATACAACTATCTACTGGGGCTTTGGGGGAAAATAAATAAATAAATAAAAAGAGAAAGCGATGAGTGGTTCACGTCTACTTTTAGAAGACACTAAAATGAACTGGAAAGAACAGTGGAGTGACTTCATGGAAGTAAGAAAAACTGAATTCCCATCTTACCTCTGCCACCAGTCAAGCTGCACTGTGGCCTCAGACAAGTCCATTTACCTCTTTAGGCTCAGTTCCCATACTATTCAATGTCATCTAACTGAAAGACCCCTCCAGTGCTAAATTCTATACTTGGATAAACACTCCAGACATGTCTGTATGTGTTAGTATTTTAGCCAAGTTGAACCACACTTAACAGCAAACTTTGTGAATCCGTGTACGACCCTAAAATCTCACTGTAATGTACTGAGCTATATGGCAGATACTGTAGGTTGATTTAATCAACTCCCTGCTACTTGTTCTCTACTAATAGAGACTAGTAAGTTATGAGCCCAGCTTCCCAGACTACCTTGCAGCTGGGAGTGCCTTGTGACGCAGGCCTGGCCCACATGATCGTGATGCAAGCCTGCCATTGCTACAGCTTTGGCTTTGTCCCTCGTCCTGCCTGGAATGCTCATGCAAGGCCAAGGGGGAAGCAGCAGCTATTGATAAAGCTGGCAGAACAGAAGAGAGAGGAGAAATCTGATTCTTCAATGACAGTCTGAGCCACCAGGCCAGCCCTGGACTTCTTTCTGCCTGAAACCAATATACTCCTTCCTTATTTAAAAAAGTATCTGTTCGTTTTTCTGGTACCTGCAGCTGAACAAAATCCTAGATCAAAATCCAAAAATAACAGAGCCTTATTTTAACATATTCCCATGACTATAAAATCTTCTAGTTGAAGATGAGATTGAGAGAACATCGCTCAAAGAAACCCCAGGATGCCCTACGGTGAGATTCTGCTAAGACATTTATTTCATGTTTATTCCGGTATAGAGGTGCAGACATAAAAGCTTAGAGGTGGGCAGAACCTGAGTCCTCAGACCCAGATGTACTGCCTGAACTTGAGAAAATCTTGCCTGCAATCCAGGGTTCTCTTTCACAAAGCAGTATTTTTTTTAAAGCAGGCTCCTGTATTGCTTTTTTATATAATCTTTTTCTTTTGATTATAAAAGTAAAATATTCTCATTATGGAAAATTTGGAAAATGCAGAGGAACACAAAGAAAAAAACTTTAACCCTTCGTACAAAGAGAATCACTATTATCTTTTCGGAATATTTCCTGGCTTCTAATAATAGTCACAATCATTTACTGAGCGGTTTCTACGTGCCAAGCAGGCGTTGTACTAAGCACATCCCAACTATTATTGCATTCCATTCTCACGACAGCCCTAAGAAGCTTGGTATAATTTTATTCTCATTTTACAAATGAGAGAAAAGGGTTGGTCCGATTGATCACCTTGCCCAGAGTCCCAGGGCTAGTGCCAGAGCTCGGATTCAAAGTCAGATCTGACTCCGAATCCCACTTCCTCAAGCAGTAGCGATCAAACCCCCACGATGCAGCTACAGGACTGAGCTCACAGGGTGCACACACTCTGCATCCTCCTTTTTTAACCTCACAGTCTGTCGCAAACATTTCCTCATGACATTAAAAACACTTCCACTGTATAAATATTACACAATTTATGTAACTATTTCCCCTCATGTCACTAAGTAGGTCTCAGTTTTTTGCTATTATAAATAATGTTCCATCAAATAACTTTGTCCATAAATCTTTGGATTTCAGGACATTTCCTTAGATTCTAAGACAATAGATTCACTCAGTCAGTAGCTTTGAACACAAATTGCACATCTGCTTGTCTCCTCCCCACCTACTTCTGGAATGGGCAGACAGAAAGAAACAGACATGAAATATTCAGCACATACACAAAATCCTAACCACTCACGAAGCCTTCCCCTCTCGTTAAAGGCACGTGTGGAGCCAAGGGGGATCCCTCACTGGCCTCACAGCCTTGTACTAGAAAATGCCCTGCACTTTCCACTACAGCTTTGAAGAAAATGACAGCGCTGGTTTTAATAATTAACCATGAGAACAGAATCACTCTAGGATCAAAACGCCTCTAAAATCTTTTATATTTAGTTGATAAAAATCCTAAATGAGGAAAAAAAAAGTGAAATAAGTTCATTGCAATTGAAGCCTTGTGTTGAGAGAACGTGATACAAACGGCTTTGAGCCTGCCAGGCACAATCTTCATTTGCACTGAAATCAAACAAGATGGAATGATTAACCTTTCTAATGCAAAATGGGAATAAGAATACCATTGGAGTCCTGGTGTAGATTACATGAGATAATGGTTGTAAAATACTTAGGATGATGCCTGGCACATTGTATGTGCCCAATAAATAAATGTTAGCCCTAACTAGTCCAGTTTCTGGAAAACCAGACACAAGGAGCTAGGCTACATCATGGATATATAGGTTTGCTTGTCACCCTACAGAGCCCCGACCTCAGCAGCACTAAGTCTGATCCTGCCCCCTACATCTCACCAAACCCATCACACACACTCCCCAAGAACAAGCCTCTACGCCAGCCTCATGCCTTACTCCTCCCTCCAGCGTCTTGCCTGGAATGCTTTATCCCGAACCCTGAGCTGGAGTAGCACAAAGACAACAAGCTTAGGAGTTAGACCTGGGTTTGAACTCTGACTCTGCCATTTTTTAGCCGTGTGGCCTTGGGCAAGTTACTTAAACTCTCCAAACCTCAGTTTTATCATCCGTAACATGGAAGGGTACAGTCCATCAACCAGAGGGTTGTTGAAAAGATAGGAGCAAATGTATACAATGGTGTACCTAACACACTGCCCTGTGGCACAGAGAGGGGGCACCTGGCAAAGGGCAGCTACCTGTGTGGTTATGACCCACTCAAGTTTAATGAAGCCCCATCTCCTCCAGTGTGTTCCCTGACTCTGCCAGTTCCCACCTGTCCTGTCCTAAAGCCTGTACAGTGTGTTACATTTAGAACTTAAGCTTGTATTTCCTGTTTTGTGTAGGCAGGTCTTATCTTTCCAAATTAATTTCTGGAAAGCAAGAATTGTATCTCATTCCACCTACGAGCCCGGCACAAAACAATCCAAGAATGGCAATGAAATGCTGAAACCTCTTATGACAACTCAGATCTGTTGGAAGAGACTCCCTGGAACACTGTGTTAAGAAGACGTCAGAGGCTACATTCAGGTTCGCTGGGGAAACAAACGCTAATTATGGGTATCTGTTCTGGGCACAGAATGAAGGAGTGGTGACATATGACAATTATGTGCCATCCCTGGAGGAGGCACTCAGTCCCAAGTTAAGCAAGCTTACCCCCACTGATCCCACCGAGGGCCTCCAGTGTGAGGGTGGGAGGGGGGATGGAGCACACTGACCTGCGTAGCTCCGCCCTGTGCTCATGTTGGTTGGCAGCAGCGTCCATTTGTCGGTGACAGGATTGTAGTACTCCACCGAAGCCAAGTTGCAGGATCCATCATCCCCTCCAACCACATACAGGAGCCCATTCACTGCGCAGACACCTGAGAATCGAACAGAAACCACAGGAGATATTATAGCAGGAGCACAGGGGATCAGGATGGTGGAGAGACATATCTGCATTGCCCTGGAGGCTCTTTTCCTCCCCTTCGTGGTAGCACAACAGAGAACCGGCTCTGCAGGTCTGAGTTTACTCAACAGAAGAACATACTGACAGCAGCAACCGGGTTCCGAGGACCCCCCTTTCAAACAAGGTCACTTCTCTGAGCAGGGAGCTTTCACTGCTACTGGCCCCACAGATGTTCCCTGCCCCTGATCCTACAAATTTGTAGAGCATTATGGGTACAGGCCCTTCTCCATGGAACACTGCCCACAGTGCATGCAGACTTCCTATGTCCAGCCTGAGCTACGGAATCAGACAATTCAGGGGATTTTATGCATGCTACTACTACTGTGCTTATAAGTTTTTCCCTGATAAACCCTGTTATATTCATATTGTGTGGCGCTAATGATTTATATGACTGGGGTCTAAACGCACACACAGTTCCCAGGGAGGAGGCACTCCTCCCACCCTGATCTCAGAGTGAGCTGGTTTTGGGGCAAGGTCTCATGCAGCGACTCAAGAGTAGGAAAATGTAATTATTGCTCATCAAGGTTTTAAAAGGCCATAATCCAATATACTGTGTATTTTTCAAAACTAGATTAAGGGATTGATGATGCTTAAAAAGTGAGAGTATAAAATGCACCACCTTCCTGGTTGGTGTGAAAAGCACATGTGCTCCTTCTGACTCAAAAATTCCACTTCTGGTGTTTTGTTCTAAAGAAATAATTTTAGATGTGTGCATTGATTAACTATAAGGGCCAGTCATAATAACCGAAGTATTACTTATAGGAAAGATGGAAATAACCTAAATGTCCAACAGTAGATGGATTATTTAAATTATGAAACAGTCATTTAAAATAATATCATGTAAATATATTTCCTGTTATAATAAGATTTTCATGAAAGATTGTAAAGTGGATTAAAGGGCAGGTTATAAAACAGTATTACAGTGTGATTCCATTTTTGTTATAAAAAAATAAAAATAATCTATATGTGAGCGTGTGTTATACACAAATTTACATCTGAACTTAATTCTCCAACTCTAGATAGACTAGCTGTCTTGAGGGTTTTGTAATTCCTTGCTCATGTGGCTTAAGGCCAAATGCCAAGTTATATCACAGCAGGCTTAGGCAATGAGCAAATTAATAAACTCCCCTCTGTTTACACTTTCAACAAGTCAGCTACAAATGGGTTTAGCAAACAGGTAATTTGACTATAAAGGAATTAAATCTGCCTGAAAGTCACCTGTTTGTCTTTCCAGCCTGGGAAGCTGGGCTAAGCCAATACTTTCATAGAGTAATTAGGCATAAAGCAAGATATTCTAACACAGGACATGACCCACAGGGCAAAGTTCTAAAAGGAAATAGTTTAACAGGGGTGTCAGGCTTCAGGAATAAAAACCTAAACACTCTAAGGTAAATCCTTCCTACAGGAAGGAAAAGGGGAAGAGAAGGAGAAATAGGAAGTACAAAGGAAGGAATAAGGGAAGCAGTCCCACTAGAGAATGAAGCAGGGGCCTGGCTACCCCTAAAAGGATGGAGCATGGTTCAGGTGGGAAGTGAGAGGTTCGCACAGCCAGGCACTGGCAAAGAAAAGAGAAAACCAAGTGCCGTTGCCCGGCCTTGTCCACACAGCCCTGTGCTTAGCTGCCCAACAAAGCCACGGGCAGGGGGCCCTAACACAAACCAGAGGGCTTCTCTGGGTCTGTGTCCACATGTGTGCAGTGAAAGTCATCACCCCTCACTGGGAGGGGAGGAACCCTCTGCATCTAAGTGGGGGACCCTATGGCTAGCTCTTGGGGTTCCAAGCTCTCCCCTCCCCTAGCCCAGAGCCTACCCAGAAAATGGACCTCCCTATTCAGGATACAAGCTCAGGCCCAGGCTCTGGGAGTCTCTCCCCTCTGCCTCTCTTTTAGAGCTGGTGTTTGCAGAGAGAAAAGACCCAAAACCCCTCAAGGGGAGGAGGAGAGAGCAGCATATTACCTGCATTGCGCCGGCACATGTTCATGTCGGCCACCTGCTTCCAGGTGTTTGTTCCAGGATCATAAACCTCAACACTCTTCCTCACCAGGGGCCCATCGTGCCCACCTGTGGCATACAGCTGTCCGCTGAGGACCCCAACGCCTGAAAGGCAGAGCACAGTGAACCAGCCTCAGGCTGGCTATAGTGACCAGAAACCAGGAGGCCTGGTGTCCGGTCCTGGACAGCCAACACCAGCAGGGGGATATGGGCAGTGCTGTTTTGTCTCCCTGGACCTCAGTGTCCTCATCTGTAAGACAAATATAATGATACCCTGCCCATCTCACTAGGCTGTCAACCTGAAAACCTCAAAATATAAAGCAAATATGACCCCATTTCTATTTAAAGAAACATAAATATATATAATATATGTAATAGATATAATAGATATATAATATATATGTATATAACATATATGTAACATATGTATGTATAAAATGGGGAAAGAGGGTTTATATACAAAGAAAAAAGAAAAAAAAAAAAAAAGACCGAAAGAAATCCACCAGAACATTAAGAGTAGTTATTTCCAGGTGGTAAAATTACATTTGTTCTGTTTGCCTCTCTACATTGCCTAGTTTTGCTATTACTTTTATTCCTCAGCCTCACATTAGCTGAGTTAAAAATGGGACTAGCCACCCAGCAGGTGTGCTGGGTCATTACCCCTGCTTGTCCTGAAGCGGCAGCTGCTCCCTGCCCGCTTGCTCTCCTCCTAGACAGCAGAGGGACAGTAAACCACTCACGATGTCGTGAGCCTGAGCCGAGGGCTTGGATTGCATCAGTTACAAGTCTGAGTGCAACCTTTTAAAATCCTTTAATACAAGCCAAGGAAACCAAAGCCAGGAAGGAGGAGGGTGGCACAGTCCCCTAGAAAGAGCAATTAACTGGATGGCCGGGATACCTGGGTTCTGGACCTGTGTCTCTAACTTGTCCGTCCGAGGAACCTTCCCCTTTCTGGACCTCACTTTTCCCGTTTGTGAAGTAAGGGACTGGACTAGACCAGGAGTTCCAATGGACCGTAGACTACTCCACTCCATGGACAGGCTGTATCTCAATCAGCTGGGGAGACGTTGAAAAGAGAGATTCCAGGGCCTCACTCCCTGAGACACTGCTCAGGGATCACAAGAGGTATCTCATGTGTTAGGATGTGAAGCCAGGTGTCAGACCCAAGGACTGGATTTCTGGAATATAAACTTCATATGGACAAGGACCGTGTCTGTCTTATCATGTCTGTTTCCCGTGCCTGATGGTGGGTAGCAGGTTCTCAATAAACATTGTCTGAATGACAAAACAAGTAAAATCTCATGCAATTACACTGGTGTGCTAGTGGTTCCTCGCAGTTGCCCTAAACTAACAGCAGATGGTGGTGTTGCATCAACAATGGCTATCTAATAGGCTTGGGTTTAACAAACTTCAGTGTGTTCCAAAGTTGCCTCACCTTCCCCTCCCCCATGCACAGGCTGGGACCAGAGATGGCCTCCTTTCCTCACAACCATCTGCTGGCATTGCCCACACCCTGCTGAGGAGGCAAGCAGCCTTCCAGGCATTCAGGGGCACCACTGCCCTTTTGCAGCCTCCTCCACAAACGGTCACCCAGAGGTTTCCTGGACCTAGAGCCACAGGGTTTTCAGCCGCTAAAAAACACCCACTACGACAAGCATGTGGGTTCCCAACTCCAGAGGTGAGGCTTCCCCAAATCTTAGGGATGTGAAGCCCCAAGCAAACGCTAACCTGGGAGCCTGAGGCCAGGACTCTGACAGTAACCTGAGGAAAGAGCCCACCTCTGGGAGAGAGACTGTTCCCAAAATCGAGGTCACTGCGCCTCCCTGGGACACAGGCAGTAGCGTTGTCACCGTCCAGGGCCTCCAGCCCAGGTGAGAGGCAGGAGCCGGGCTGAGTGATCTCCACTCAGCAATAACCCCTGGGCAGCCTGGCAGCTACAGAGCAGCGTCGCCTCCACTCTGAAGGCAGCTCTGTCCAAGACGAGCCTGCACTGGCTGGTGCAGGCCTGTGCTCGTAGCCCCTCCACACTTGCTGCTTGAGACATTCCTCGAAGCAGCCACACCTCTCAGAGCTGCTGCACTCCTACCAAGCTGTCCCTACATCCTTGACCTTTGAACTTGCTCTCACACCTCAAGTCACAGAGAGGATTTCTAGGACTAAGACTACTCGATCAAGACCCTATAAACCAAAATTACTAAAAGAGCTCTATGAAGGGACAAGAACCATGGGACGTGTGAATTGAATTGGTCCCTAAGGAATATCTACTGCAACCCATTCATTTTACATCTGAGGAATGAGAGGCCAGAAAGGGGGAAGGGACGTGCCCAGTGTCACACGGCAAGTTTGAGCAGCCCCAGCACTAAATCCCAGACCTCCTGACTTCCAGGCATATGCTCCGTGTTCAGAAGGGCCAACCAGTCAGGATTGGCAGAGACAAGCTTCCTAAAAACAGCATTCCAAACACAAATGCTTCTTCGATGGAATCACATAGCTTTTTCTTTTCTAACCAGTGAGCACACAAAGGTTCTTGAAAAATATTAAAATAGCATAATTTTTAAGGAATGCTGAGGAAGTGGTCATGTGTTTGATACTGTAAAATGAGATCACAACTCAATCTTCAAAAATATTAAAAACAAGAGAAAGGAATAACATTGTGGGTAAAAACTCCCAATTGTGGCTTCCCTTCCCAGAAGTCACACAGCCTTCCCGCCAGGCCCAGGTTGGTCATTAGTCACCACGCCCCACGGGAACTGGGAACAGAGAGCCAGGGCCCAGTGCCCCCGTCTGCCCTTCCAGACCCTTTCCCTTGGGCCTCTAAAATGATGGGGAAGACAAAGCAGGGAAGAAGGGGCTGTTGCTCCACTTCCTGAAAACTCCCAAAGGACTACAGAGTTCCTAGTGTCCCCACAGGAAGTGGAAGTGGCCCACATTTGGGAGGTCATTCTCTTCCCATGGAGGGGAGGACGGTGAAGTGGGGAAAAGTTGGGGGGATGGGGGGAGACATAAATTTATCTCCAAATATGAACACTGATAACTTGGCTTTCAACCCCCAAGACAAGCAAGCTTTAGCTTTTCTGCTGAAGACTGGGACAGCGTGCTTGTCCTACAACTTCATGAGAATGAGATTCTAATAATTTAGGGGTCACAAAAGCTAACTTTGAAGTGAGACAGACCTTAGTGGGAACCCTGAGGTGTCAGTTACTAATGATATGACCTTGGGCAAATTACTCAACACCTGGTCGACTTACTTTCTAAATCTGTTGAATGGAATTAATATTGTGTCTATGTTTTAGGGCTGTGGTGAGGATTAAATGAAATGGGCAATAGACAGTGCTTATTAGACAGAACTTGGCACACAGCAAGCCTTCACTTTCAAGAGACGCAGACACCTCCACAGAAACAGAAGGGATGATGATGAAGAGAATATTATCTCACCTGTTTTCTAGCAAAGTGATCCCCAGGGAAAGGTTAACTTACAAGTGCTTGTGTCGAGCTGCAAAGGTGCTAGTGGGATTCTACGCATTAAAAGGAAAGAAGAGGGAGGTAAAATAAGGCAGAATGTTAAGCTGTTGGTCTCCAGACCCGCCTGTGAGCAGAAGAGACATAGCCTGCACCCAGAGGCTCTCCCTGTACCTGCGCCACTGCGGCGGGTGCTCATGTCTGCCACATACGTCCACTCATTGGTCGCTGGGTTGTACTGCTCCACGGTGCTCAGGCACTGGCGGGAAGCCCCATCATAACCCCCAACAGCATATAGCTTCCCTGGAACAGACAAAATGGCTGAGGGCGGTGCCGGGGAAACACATTTCAGGAGCTGAAATTCCATCTTTAACCAGTGGGGCACCCTCACCTGCATCAGATTCAGGGCCCCATCCCTCCAGAGAGACCACTGACTTACTCCCCGACCAGGATAAGCATCCTTCACATCTCTGCCTTCCACTTCCTCTTAAACCCCGGGCTCCTTGAAGCAGTACTGAACCTCTTTCTAAATAAGCACTCCAAATACCCAGTACGAAGCTATGGCCTAGCACCACTGGGGCTCAGCATATTCTTGCTAGTGAACCACGTTAGATCTTCTCCAGAACAAGGCACCAGACAGATGGAAAGCTACAGGGCCCCAGCTACAGGCAGGCAGGCCCATTTTCTGGCTAAAGGCTCACAATAGCAGACAGAACAAATATTGAAAAATATTCTTCAACGTGAACCCAAACCCTGTCTTAGCCATGGTTTGTACTCCAGCCACAACTCTGGCAGGTGGAGCATATGATGGGAGTGCCCTGCCTGCACTCTGGGCTGGGGTGACTGGGATTTATCTGCAGACTCCTTGATGACCTCTGAGCCATGCACAAGGGCTCTGAAGCACCATCACCTATTTTTAAAATAAAAATATCATAAGCTGTTATCCAAGAGCATCATTTCTGCCTGGGGCTGGGGGTGAAGTTGGGCAAAGGTGCAGGAAATTGGTATTTGAGCTCTCCCAGAGCAGAGAGTCAAACATTTTGGGTTTAACATGTAGCCTTAGAATGCAGTAGGAGGGTCTCTTCTGTGTGTGTGTGCACGAGGCGGGGGAGTCCTACCTCTCTCATGGGCTTCAGACAGATAGGGGACCAAAGAGTTAAAACAAGGATCTTAAACACTAGCTGTAGACCAAATAAACACTGCCAGATGCAAATCTACTTAACAGAGTTACTTAAAAGATTTTTTTTTGTTGGGCCGGGCCCGTGGCTTAGCGGTTAAGTGCACGCGCTCCGCTGCTGGTGGCCCGGGTTCGGATCCCGGGCGCGCACCGATGCACCGCTCCTCCGGCCATGCTGAGGCCGTGTCCCACATACAGCAACTAGAAGGATGTGCAGCTA